GCTTTCACCGGAATGGTTGAGTTCAACTGGATGTCAAACTGAATTATATCTGTTTTCCCAGGTTTGTTGGTAAAAATATTTTTATACTTTTGGATTACCCCCTCGATTTTTTCTTTATCTCTTGGTGGTAACTCCGGGTTTATCTTTACCGACCTCTAGTTGATCTCATCCTTCACTGACGGTGTTGGTATTTCGTCATTAATAGCGTCAGTTATTTGTTCATTTATCATGTTACAAGCATTGACATTTTTTACAATATCATCACTAACATTTCTTCTAAAATACCTTTTCATCAAGTTAACATAAAAAATTTTCAATTTCCCTTTATAATCAATTTCATAGTCAACATTTGACACTTTTCTTACTACAGTGTAAGGACCACGCCATTCGATGCACAGTTTGTCTGAATCTTTTGGTAGCAATATAAGCACTTCTTGACCGGGTTCGAAGGTCATCAGTTTAGTATTTCTGTTTGCATATATTCGCTGCTTATGTGTTGCGTGGACACATGCCTTTTTTGCTTCTTCATATGCTACTATTATTTTGTGTCTAAGATTGATGACTGTTTCATAATCTTGTGCTTTCGACTCAGACTCAGTTTTTCCTGTGATCATGTTCTTGTATACTTCTAAGGGTCCTCTGGGATTTGCACCGTAAATAATTTCAAATGGGGACATGCCGGTGGAACTATGGGGGATTTCTCTATAAGCAAATAAAATTGCTGGTAATAAAGTGTCCCAATTCGATGGTTTTCGGTAGGTTATTCTAGCCAACATGGTTTTTATAGATTTATTTAGGTTTTCTGCTAAACCATTAGCTTGCGCATGGTAAGGGGATGTAAAATGTTGGCGTATTCCTAACAGGTTGGAGACAGCTTTAGTTATGGCTGAGGTGAACTAGGTACCTTTGTCTGAGACTATTACTTCCGGGAAGCCTATTCTGGAGAAAATTAACAACAATGCTTCTTGAATGTGGTCACTGGTAATAAATTTTAGTGGTATGCATTCTGGCCACATGCTTCCTACGTCTATCATGGTAAGAAAAAATCTATTCCCTTTCGCCGATGTAACAGGCAAGGGTCCCACAATGTCTATTGCGACTAGCTCAAACGGTCTGTTGGCAGTCAGGCCGGGTTGAATAGGGGCCTTTGGGGTTACCCCTTTTTTGGTGATTTTTAAACAGATGTCGCACGATTTGACATATTTTTTTATGTCTTTTGCGAAACCGGGCCAGAAAAATGTAGATAGTATTCTTGTTGTAGTTTTGGATATTCCTAAGTGCCCTGCAAAACTGGAATCGTGTGCTAACGCTAAAGCTTGATTTCTATAATTGACTGGTAGTACAGTTTGTCTAATTACTCTTGATCCTTTGGTATACAACCTTGTCAGAACATTTCTATGTAACACAAATTCCCACTTTGCATTTTTACCAACCTTTGGTGTTGCATTCAGTAACTGGAAGCATTTTGTGAGCGATTTGTCACTTTTTTGCTCTTCCTGAAATTTCATGCTATTATTCAAATCTTCCACTGTGACTTGTTTCATTTGATTTTGACATTCTTCTTTTTGTAAATTATCTTTAATTTTTTCTGTCATGCTTCTGGTTACTGCTGCAGCCACCTGAGTTTCTTCTTCTACATTAGATTTCTTATTGGATCTGTTGTTAGTGTCTATATTTTCATTTTTCCTTTCACTCTCCCTGCTTTCTCTGACACATTCTTCTTTGGGGTATGGAGTGTTAACTTTTGCATCTTCACTCTCACTTGGGTTGACACATTCATTGGGATTTGGCGGGTTGTCTTGCGTAACATCACTTTCACTTGCATGAGCACATGGGATATGGGGAGTTGACTTCTGTACTTCCATTCTGACAATAGTTTGGAATATTCCTTTGTTCCCAAGCTATAATGTCACTCTCGGTTACTGTTTTCAAATCTTCTCTGTTCCCCAAAATCAAATCAGCACAAGTTATGAACTTTTCTAAATATGGTGTTTTAACAAACATGTTAGCCAGTCTATATCTTTCGATGCTCCCACCAAAGGTACGACAATTGATGTATTTGTCTGTTAAATCTTCTGGTCTAACCAATCTTTGATGCACTCCGGAAATAGATGCACCACTGTCCCTAAGGAGGGATATGGTTTGCCCATGGATCTGACCCTTCTGAAATTTCAGAGTACCGTGGCCGTGTGTTGCCAGATTAGCTTTCTGAATGGGTATCAGGTGTCCACACGGTAAGTTGCCTTCCTCATGGAATTTAGAACAGATTTTACATTCTTCTTCTGTTTCGTACATGGTAGCTGAATTGGCTTCAGCAGAGCCGATGTCTGAGTCATCATCTGATGTTGTACATATTACATGTGTCTCCTTAAACTGTTTTATAACAGGACAGTTACGTCTAGTGTGATTATAACATCGACAGATATAACATTTAACGGCATTTTCATACCGATTTATCTTGTTTTTTCTGTGAGCAATTACTTCTGCCACTCTTTTCTGAAACTGTGGGCTCTCGTCACAAGGACTGTCGTCACCATGTTTTCCGTGACAGTAGTTACATACGATGATTTTTTCCTGTTTCTTGCCATACCTGAAGTCTTTTTTCTGAAATTTCTGTTGGTATGGTTTTGTATAGGCTGCTGCTCCCACTTCTATCAAATCAGAACTTGATTGCACGAAAATATCAGGGTGTGCTGCAAAATAATTTTCACCTATTTCTTCTGAAGTATTTAAATTTGTTGGCTTATTTTCCTTTAGGAAAGTTGCCATTGGCTGTGGAAGAGATTCTAACATTTTACATCTTAACAACAAATCAACCAATAACTTATAGTCATTTTTTATATTGGCTGCTTCAACCCATTTTTGGAATATGTTCTGCACTTCTGACAGATAGTCTGCAAATGTTTGACTACTTTTTGGTTTCAAATCGTTGAACTGTTTTCGGTAGCCAGCTTCGTGCAGGTTGTAATGCTTCATTAACCTTTCTTTGATATATTTGTAATCTAGTCTTTTTGTTTCAGGAATTGTTTCCAGAATCTTTAAAGGTTCAAATGCCAAGTGTTTTTGAAAGATTAAAGCGTAGTCTTCCAATGGGACCGTGTGCATGTGCTTACTAAGTTCGAAATTGGCTATATAAGCTCCGATGTCGTCTTCCTTGCAGTAATTTCGGACTATTCCTGCATATTTTTTGAATTTGTTCTCTTCTGCTTTAATTCTCTCTTTTCTATTGCTGCTTCTCTTTTTGACTCATTTTCCATTTCTTTTGTTCTGATCTGAGTTCTGCCTTTTCTTTGTCGGCTTGAATTTGTACCTCTAATCTCTCATTCTCTAGCTGTAATTTTTTCTCCTCAATCTCTTTTTTGTAACAGTAATTCTTTGTCCTTACTTTCTTTTTGTTGTAGTAGCTCTATCTGTTTCAATTCAGCTTCTTTGACTGATTCTTTCTCTTTGAGACGTAGTTCGTGTTCGCGCACAAGTCTGCGTTCTTCTCGTTCTTCTGCTGCTATTCTTAATTGTTCTTCTTTCTCTTCTGCTGCTCTTCTGTCTCCCGGTTTACGTCTTCCGTTCACATCTCATGCTTTTCTTGTGTCCCTTACTTCGTTCACCATCAGACACATGAGACCCACTTCTATCGTTTTTCTCTTCTCTCACGGGTCCTCCGACCTTGTTCTCCCCATCGGGAACTCTCTGGGATTTCCCCGGGAATTCACAACATTGCACATACTAAATATTTAGTAAGATTTTTTGATTCGCCTTATATAACTCCACTGAATGATTTACGTTCAGTATTTACTACGATGAATGATTAGCGTGAAATATTTTATTTAATTAATAAATTACGGTCTTTAATTCTGAGTTGACTTCGACGTACATTGATTCATATTTTCTCACGTTAAATGACAACGTGCAGCTAATGAATGGAGGTGGCAGCTAAAGAGCAGCGTTGAGATAGCTGGAGGAAAGTAGCAATCGTAATACTAAAGTTTTATCAATCTCGCAGAGCTTGCATGCGGGTAGCAGGAAATTGATGGTGGGTGCCATGTTAATCACATCGCCTATGAAATACTGATTCATCGTCATCATGTAACACGTTGAATCGTGAATTAGAACAAAATTAAATTATTGCACTAGGGACACTCCCATAAGCGCTGCTTTCCCATCTTCTGCAGCAAGCGAAGAGTTCAAATTCCGATGGTACCAGTAGCTGTCTGTAATCCGTCTCACATTTCCCTTGAGTCTTGAGCGTCGGCCAGATCCCCTGGTAACTTCCCTTAGGGCCCTTCTCCTCATGCTTTACTGATCTATGTGTGCCTCTCACTGTTCACGCGCTCCCAAGGGGACCTCACAACGTATAGCTTGTCACACATCAATTCACCACTAACTCATCATGTAGCAAGCCATTTCATATGTTACTTTGGCACCTTTTTGCTTTTAATAACGATAGTGTTATTTTTAGTTATGAGCAGGTAAAGAGAGACAGCCCATGGCGATGGTGAGCATGACTGGTAAGACCTGCCAACGTTCACAAAATTCTTCAACGATTATAGCATGGGATTTCAGGACCGCTGTTGCCATCATCAATATTGAGTGTTTATTTAATAAAAGCTTATAAATTAAAAAAATCAAGTATAATTTTTTTTGTAAGTTACTGTGAAACGGATGGCGATATGTCTATAAATATATCCATCCAGCACGAAATACCCAATGCGCTAATGAAGTGAAAAAGGCTCTTATCTTTACTCCTATATACCACACCCTGAGCGGCTTGCATATCTTGATTAGATTCAGGTCATGGGCGTGTGCATGTGAATTCTCGATATTTGGGTGTGCAGTGTAAAAAGCAAGATGAAGGATTGGCTGGCCACTCTCTTTTGGATTTTCTATCTGTCCGTGAAAAAGATAATGTGTTGAATACTCTCAGGCGTGTCTGCCACTTGTACCTCGGTCTTATCTTTACCCCTGTTACCGTGTATTTTCTGTCTCAAATATCGATGTATTACCTCTGTCTGTTGGAACCTCAGAGATCAGTTCTAGTTTCTTTAGGTGTTCTGGTGTCAACACCGACAACTTTATGAGATCTCCAATAGCTTCATAAATGGCTGAAGATATAAATGACACGTTTCAGTAATGTAAAAATACGGTTTAATAAATGCATACCGAATTATAATAATGTTATTCTACGTTTTTTTTCTTCTGATCAATCAATCAGTCAGTCAATGCATCAATCAATCTGTTGTCTTTTCTACCATGAACTGCAATATCTTTTACTGTAGTCGACATATCTAAATGGTGCTTTTGTTTCCTTAAGCAACTCTTTTTTTTTTCCATCCCTACTCTCATTGTAGGGCTCTGTATTTGATTGTTTTTGTCTCCATGAAATACGAGATAGTTTGTTTCTAATATATGTCTTCAGAGATTCAAATCGATTTTCTAGTTGCTTGTTCATTAATCAGGTTTTTGCACAATACATTAAAGTTTAGTAAACATACCATTTGGCAATACTCATATTTATTGTGTTGTTCGTCTCTATGGTTGTCAATATTTTTCTCATATTGTTAAATATGTAATTAGCCATTCCTATACTTTTTCTGTGTTTCTGTTTCATCTCTAGCATCACATGTTGTCACGTGCCTAAAGTAAGAGAAAGGTGTTACTTATTTCAATATTGTAATATTCTTCGTTGGCGCATTGGTTCTATTGTTAACTATCGCAGTTTGACCAACAGCAACAAAAATTGTACCCATTAATATCTAAATCCTTTCTACACTTCACCTATGTACTTGATTTCTTTATTTTTGTAACTCCTATTCACTTGTACTAGAAAAAATGGCATCAGCAGTGCGTCGTAAATATTTTAAAATTCTTCTAATAATATTCACCCCGCTCAGTTTTCTAAATTATAAAAAAAAAATGAATGTTCAGCTGGTCTTTGATATCTGTTATTTACTCATAATATAAGTTTTATTGATCTTATCACAAGTTTTAATATAGACTTCCGGTTGCGACATTGATAGGGAATGGATGACGGTTGAGAGCTTTGCTTATGTTGACCGTTCTCACCGCCGTTTCTCCTAGAGTTTCGATGTTGCAAGATTGTAGAGGGCTGGTTTGCAGCCGAAGTTACTAAGTTTAGTGCTCCTGACGGCACTATGAGCTGTGAATTTTGGTTATTGTCTGAGTTCCAGATTCGTACATAATGGCAATGATGGGTGACGTATTTTTCTTCGTTGTGTTCCTGGAACAAGGCGTGTGCTATAGCTGCTATTTATTTGCTGGCCGTGGCTGCAACTTGTTCGAGGACATGTGGAGAATGGTCAGGAAAAGTTTTAATCTACTCATTAGCCAGCTACTCGTCGAATGAAGTTGATTTTCAGCGATGACGCCTGGTCTCGCGATGTGTTTGAGGAGGCATGCAACTAATGGTTTGCCAGATCAAATCGTGTGTGTTTTACTGACTGAGGACACTTTGTATAGCTACGGCATTCACTTGAAGTATCCAGCAAATCTGACTCAGTTTGTGACTGGAATCACTGGCATAGGCGGTTGAGCCATTATGGGCCAAGCTCCTGTGCTGTGATGTCGGAACCGTAACGACTAACTAACTAACTAACAAGTTTTAATAATATTATGACATTATTGTCATTGAAAGTGTTATTATTATCACGTTTTACGGGTGGGTTTCAAATTAAAGCCTTAGAAAAAAATTAGCAATTTTTTTTTTTTTTTTTTGGGGGGTGGGGGGGGGGGGTCAATATGGACACCGCTACGTTCACTTCAAGGCACCCAACGCTTATAAAATGATTAAATTTCTGGTCCCCCCCCCCCCCCCCCCCCCCCCCCACCCCCCCCCCCCCCCCCGACCCCCCCCCCCCAAAAAAAAAAAAAAAAAAAAAAATCCGTAAGCAGTCATGCTCCGCCTGCTGAAACTCTCTCTCTTTCGGACCTACACGTCTGTCCTCTCTATGTGACTCTGAGTTGTGCAAGCTGGTGACAAGCCCGTAGTGCTGGGTCTGGTTAGTACAATGGGTGTGGTACACACGGAAAATTAATGTCTCCGATGGTTTTAACCGGTGCACTGCCATTATGAGAGTCGAGCATTGTCACGTGGCAAAAGGACATCTTGGCTGAGCGTGCCATATCACTTGGGTTTGACTGTGGGTCAAAAATGATTCCTGAGAAGATCTGTATACGTATTACTAATGACACTTTCCCCTGTTGGCATTCAGTGCTCTAAAATAATACCTCGTTAATCACAAAACAGAATTGGCATAGCTTTCCCTTCAGGCGGAATTTCTTTGGCTTCTGTGAAAAGGGACTGCGCCATTACATGCTCGTTCTCTTCGTTTTTGACCCGTAGTAATGAACCAAGTTTGTATCTCCACTAACGATTCATAATAGGAAACCACCACGTTCTGCTTCAGCGCACCGCAAACATTCCTCACAAGCGTCAAGGCATTGTTGTAAAACTTCTGGAGCAAGCTGCCGTGGCACCTACCTTGTAGACACTTTGCGATACTGTACCAAGCAAATCCTGAATGATGTTCAGATGTATAACCTTGTTAATTAAATTCATTCGGCTCTTATCCTGTACTAGACATTCATTGACTGCAAACGATGCTGTGGTCACTAATCGGTGTGCCTGACACATTCGTGAATACAGTCTATCTCCACGTCACTGCCTCTTCCACACATCCCCTGCTGGACAGACATGCATGCATCAGCACACTGCACCTTTATTCCCGGATATATTTCTTTGGGTTTTGCCTGTTCCCAACTCAGAAAACGCGTCAGAAAACGCCATCACCTGTTCTTCCAGCATATATTGTTTTGACCTGGATTGAATATGTTGTGTTTTTCGTCCTAGCACCCTGACGCACATCTCTATCTTGACCTTGTTCTCAGGCCGTAAAACTTGTCTGACTTCAACACTTTCCTTTTATAGCCTGTGACACATAACCACCACTGAGCTTCATCACGCTGAATGTGTTTTGTTTGTTCGGTTAACTCTGTGGTGCAAGCTTCGTTGAATATAGATCAGAGAGTTTATACTATATATAATCAGCACTAGATACTGCAGCAACACCATCTACTTTACCAGGGTTAGCACTATCCCTGTCGACGAGTGGCCGGTTTTTGTATGCCATGAAGTAGGCTACATGAGCCATCTCATGATGGGCGGTCACAAAGTCTCTCTCTTCGACTCGACTACACATCTTGATCCTGAAATGAGAAAACAGCAATTATACCACTGTTGAAATACCGTTTCATTTTTTTTTTTTTCATAAATAACCCTGGCTCGCAGGTCGACCCCTCATTAAATGGTTAGCAGATAAATCCTTCAAAGTAGTTACCACAAAACTCACCATGTGCCCATTGGTCTATACAATATTGACCTAGCGTATTCCAATACGAAAGGGACTTTTACTTCATTTTTAATTGTTTTGGGTAACATGAAATGTACAAACTAATATTTATAAAGAAAACGACGCCTATACATGGTTGACCATGGTTGGAATGGGGACCGAGTAATGCAAGTGTGCAACATAAAGACATTAGCTTACTCACACCGTTAGGACTTCACAGAAACCTAATACAACGTGTACATCAAAGGAAGTTGCTGGAGGCTTTCCTATCTGTCCGAAAGTCTGAGATTTGAAAACCTACTGAAACTATTTTTTTTTTATAATTGACCAAAAGCTCACAATTCGATAAAAACCTAAAATAGGTGCAAGTAATTGTCTTTGGAAGTTAAGGCAATATACATTGTATTCACCCTATCATCAGTTAGGGTTAATCTGGGTGAAGATTCGACATCACAACATTCAGGACACGACTATGTTTGTTCCGTCTCCCTCCTAAACAGGCAAGGAAGTTTCTCCATACGGATGGTACCCGTTGTCCTGTTTAACAACTTGTCTTTCCCCCCTCCCCCACCCCCCCACACTCTTGAGTGGCGCCCAGAACCCATAAACAAATGCCTGCTGCACCTATTACCGAGTTTTGATTGTTGTATACACAATGAGCCTTCAGGTGGCAGCACCCATGATTAGTTTGGTTCGAGATGAAAAAGTTATTCACGAGTAAAGAACAGAGAAAATTGCTGTAGTCTTAGTCGAGGTTTTAACCTCACTGCAGTCATGGCACTCCCCCATACTTACTCTGTTCCTGTGCCAGGGAAAATCAGGTAAAATGTCCCTCACTGTCCCATTTGAAACAGTGATCAACAAACAACTAGTCCTGGAACAATCCACACACACACACACACACACACACACACACACACACACACACACAAAATAAAAAGCCACACGTAAACCAGCTATCGACCATACTGAATATTACGACTGAAAGAGATTCCACATGAAAAACACAAATCACAGTGCTACACCGAACACTAAACTCAGTAGCGTAGACAGCGAATCTGTGCGTTTAAATTGCCTGCTTCCTGTTGGAAGCAAAATTAACTTTGAAGCTAAACATTCTGCCGTGCCTTCACCTCTATATTGCACCGAACTGGTTATAGCATTAAGGAAAATAATTGTACATATTCTGAACGCCCAGTCCCCAAAGCGTAAGGTAAAGGGTCAAAACGCTTTCAAACCAAACACCCGGAATCAGTAGTGTCACGTTCGTGAAGTCAAGTAAAGAACAATGTGCATGTCAGGGGCGCATGGGGCATATGATGTTACATTCGTGTATGTATAGACCAATTGGTGCTCAATGGCTGATGTGGTTTAACTTTTCATAAAATTATTACCCTTGTTCCCAATATAGAGATCAACGAATTGTCAACCCACATCCGTATTACACAGGGATTAGCACCCAAGAGCTTTGTGCTGGCAGTTTAGAGTCTGCCACATGGATACTGCGCCACAAATACATTTAGGTCACTCACCAGGATAGCACGAGAGCTATTAGACCACCTAGAAAGTCGTTATCAGATAAGAACTCAAGAAGAAGGGAGCGAACCATGCACGAAAGGCTTCTTGCGTGTATTTGAAAATCTGATAAAACGTTAGGTGCCAGTCCCTTACAGGACGTTTCAGAACCAACCCCAGCATGTTTTGGCGGTTTGTGCTTTTGCTAGGTAATTTTACGTTCAGTAATTTGCCATTGCTTTCTCGATACCACTGTCTAAACCAACACACATCGGTCTGCTACCAGATCACCCATAGCGGGGATCAAAATAGTGTGGGGTTTAAAGCTATAGAATTGGACACGGACCATTAATAGTTGTAATGCTAGTACAATATAAAGGTTTGATTCCGCTGTTGAACTTTAAAATTGTGACATGCAGTAACCTACGGCCACGAAACAGTGGAAAAGTTAAGTCGGTAGCCAAAGATTTCTGCTAAATTATGTAACGGGGTAGAGTATGTAGTTTTTCTCATGCAAGATTGCGGTCTAAAGAATCAACACCTCAAGGATGAGAATTAGACATGTACAAATCATGAACCTGGGTTTAACCGCAAGAAAAGAAGTTACAGCAGGACACCAGACGCTGGCGTAAATGGTAGTCCGGTGTGGGCTGGAAATAACGACTAATGCATACAGTAGAAAAATACAAAATAAAGTCCAATTTTGGAAGCATCTTTTTTTTTTTTTAAATTGCATTTACTCACTTCAGCTGACTTTAGCCAGAAAGTGATATTGAACACTTTAAGTCAACATCTGAAGGCGTTAGCGGTTGGTAACTATTTCCCTTAGAATAAGTTTTCTCGTATTGGCAAACTTCGGATTACTCATATTTTCTTGAAAGATAAAGATCTTCCACTTCTTCTTTTCTTCCACCCTGTACCTCTGTGGAGTGTCGGAAGGACATGTAACGCTCGTTGATGTGCTCTGTCACTATTAAGATTGAAAAGATTAAGAAGGTCAAGCGCACTTTATACCCCTAAAAAAAAAGAAGAGCTGGTAGAGTATTATTTTGATATGACTCTTGTGTCCAGACGTAAAATATAATCATTACTTGAGCTGTGGATATCACTTGGAAAAGAATATGTCCTGTCCTATTATATGTGAAAATGCTTTCTCAGCTATAAAAATAACAAAGAAATCAAACATGTTATTGCAGGGCTTCGTATATCAGAAACAAAGCTCTAGTCACGTATATCCTATTTTCTAACCTCTAAAACGAAGCAGATGTCGCATTAGCGGAAAACTGTAACTTTATGACATTGGATTAAACAAATAAACTGCTATTGACATTTGTTTTTGTGTGTGTGTGTTTTTGTTAAATATAAGTTGGACAGCGAAACCGTTTTCCCCCTTTTTGTTTTGCAGTGTTGTCTATGACCGGCGCCACAATAGACACAAAGTGTTGTAGAATTTCTTGGATGTTACGTGTTCATCTTGTTCTTGGTCTACATTGTGCTCTGCCTCCTTCTTCTCATTTGGTGAATGCCATGTCTGGTATATAGTCGCATGGCATTCTGTCTAAGTTGGCAAACAACTTGATATGCTGTCGCTTTGTGCAGTTCATAATATTTATGTGCCGAGTTTTCCCTCTGATGACCTTATTTCTCATGTTATCTCCTGTGGTAACTCCTGCAGCGCTTCTCATTTCCTTGGTTACTAATAGCTTGTTGAGAGTGACCAGGTCTGACACTGATTTCGTAGAGTGAGAATGCAAGAGCTTTCTTGAGATGTTTATTTCTGCTGATTGGGACACTTCTTATACTGTTAACAAATTTAAAAAAGTTAGGGTAAAAAAGGGATGGTTTAAGGGGGGGGGGGGGGGGGGTTAAGTGCCAGTACTTGCTTTGCTTTGCTACATCTAATGGTAATTTTTTTTTAACCAATTTGTCTCCATCATGAGCTACTGTTGTATTCGGATATTCTAACTCAGATGTCTGTTAAATGCTTTCGCTCGCTGCTGTTGAAACAGAAAGTAGAATTTATTCAAACTACATGAACATATGATGAGTTGCCTAATACCTAGAGAGGTAAATAAACACGATCAGTCAATGAAATACACACCTGTAATCCTTGCCGTCATAAAAGTCCCAGGCAGATGGCTGACAGTCCATTAGCCTTCCGTAAGGCTTTTCAAAAACGGACTTCTCCCAGAAAGAAGGCAACATTCTGCTAAATCCCATGGACGTTAGGAAACTTTCTGCAGTCTTAAACATCTGCTGCACTGTGAAGCCCTGATGGGAGGTCAACAATGGAAAGTACATTGAAAAGCAGGAGAGGCATTATTATTGTTGTTAGTCATCGTGTACTTTGTGGGGAAAAAAAGACATTGCTTAGCATCGACAAATGAATAAAAGAATCAGTCTATTAAAACAGTAAACACCACTAAACTTGGGACATTCCTTCCCAGTAGCCAAGGAAAAGACTATGCAATTATGTTACCAAAGTCAAATTTGTTGTGGATTCTCTTTTTCTTCTTCTTCTTCTTCTTCTTCTTCTTCTTCTTCTTCTTCTTCTTCTTCTTCTTCTTCTTCTTCTTCTTCTTCTTCTTCTTCTTCTTCTTCTTCTTCTTCTTCTTCTTCTTCTTCTTCTTCTTTTCTATCTTTCTTTCTTTCTTTCTTTCTTTCTTTCTTTCTTTCTTTCTTTCTTTCTTTCTTTCTTTCTTTCTTTCTTTCTTTCTTTCTTTCTTTCTTTCTTTCTTTCTTTCTTTCTTTCTTTCTTTCTTTCTTTCTTTCTTTCTCTTTCTTTCTTTCTTATCTTTCTTTCTTTCTTTCTTTCTTTCTTTCTTTTTTCTTTCTTTTCTTTCTTTCTTTCGTTCTTTCTTTCTTTCTTTCTTTCTTTCTTTCTTTTCTTTCTTTCTTTCTTTCTTTCTTTTCTTTCTTTCTTTCTTTCTTTCTTTCTTTCTTTCTTTCTTTCTTTCTTTCTTTCTTTCTTTCTTTCTTTCTTTCTTTCTTTCTTTCTTTCTTTCTTTCTTTCTTTCTTTCTTTCTTTCTTTCTTTCTTTCTTTCTTTCTTTCTTTCTTTCTTTCTTTCTTTCTTGACAGCGAGACGAAAGAAGTAATTATTGTTTTCAAATTACCACAAGATTGGATAGCTGTCTTGTAAATTTTGGCAGAAAAGTACATTTTAATTGCTTTCTTTTCAAACGTTACACTAAGATAACAAGTGTAGCTTGCCATCAATTAAAGGTTGTTCTGTTTGCTATGGAGTTAGAGCCCTGGCTTGTAGTACGGTAGCTTTCCAATGAAATATTACACCAAGACAAATGTACACTGATAAAACAAAATTTTTTTTTTAAAAATCGTG